TTGCTGACTTACTAGCACTGACTGTATCATAAGTAACCTGTACATATAAATAAACATGTCAAGTCGTATTTTTCATACTCACTTTTAGTTGGTTAATACAGTAAAATAGGTCATGTAGTCCTTTTTTAAATGGAGATAGCCGTTGTTGTTATTAAGTGCCATCAAGTCAGTTCTGACTCACAGCGACCCTGTATAGTATTTCCAAGGAGCAACTGGTGGGTTTGAACTGGCGACCTGGATGTCAGCAGCCCAGTGCTTATGCTACAGTGCCATTCAAGGTCAGATTAGGATTTATAAACTCCCACTTTTTGCTTATTTGTTGTACCTTTCTCCTTGTGTGAGATGGACCATATGTAAGTAAAATTTGTTGGTGAGTTACTGAATAAACACCACAAAAGAATGGGAATATTTCCATATTATCCAGGTGTGGGAGATAAACCTTTCTAGCCATAATCCTGAGAAGGCTTATGTATTATCACTTAAGCTGCTTTCCACCATACTACACCTTGAACCTCATATTTTATACCACAAAGAAAATTTAAAATGCTAACACTAGTAATGTGGTCAACAGGAAAGTCTTATTAGCTGCTGTGCTAACTGGTATAAACTCAAGGATATTAATATCTCCCAAGTTGGTTATAACTATTTATAAATGTGACCAATCCATCCAGTCCTTTGAATGTGGGTCATAATTAGCTACTAGATGATACACACTTAGTATTTAAAGCATGTACCTTAATTTTTTATATAAAGTTTTCATCTCATGTTTTGAAACTTATAAAGGTTAAATCACTGACTCAAGTATACAAAACTAGACGATATTCAATCCGGAACCAGTATCCACACAGCTGGAACACAAGCTCTAAGATCAATGTTGAAATGAATGACATAGCTAACACTAAAGAAACTTAAACTTCTTTGAGTCTTTAACGTCCTGTCCATAAAATGAGGTAGGTGGACTAAAGGATCACTAAATATCAGTTTCTGGGTCTAGCTTCTTCTAAATACGGTTGTTAGAAGCCATCAAGTTGGTCCTGACTCACAGTGACCCCATGTACGACAAAACCCTGCCTGGCCCTGCCCCATTGCTCCAGGCACTGTGTTAATCCATCTCTTTGAGAGTCATCCTTTTTTCCTAACCCACTTTACCACCATGATGTTCTTTTCCAGGGACTCCCTCCTGACAACATATCTAAAGTAGCTGAGACAAAGCCTTACCATCCTTGCTGCTAAGAGCACCCTAGCAGTACTTATTTTCTTTTTTAAAAAATAACATTTGATTGCTTAGATGGTTTGATACAGAACAGCTTTTCTTTTCATTTTGAATTTGGAAGTACTATACAGTTGTATACAGAGGAGCAAAAGTACCAAAACCCAAACTCACGATTCTCTGTTCCTGTCACATAAACTAGTTTTGTATATTAACATGTAGCAGCAGTTTTTAAAATTTCTACACATTTATTATTGTTTTCTGTTTAATGAATGGACTGAAATCACTAGGATTAACTTCCTTCTTGAAGAAACGGAGGAGAAACCATGAGAGTGTCAGAGGAGACGGCACAATCTTTCTGGAACTGCCATACGTTGCATAGTTTCCTCAGGGTGAGCTGGAGAACAGTGATGTGTTTAATGTAGTGATTGAATCTAGGCATTATGCTCATTAATCAACCAACGAGAAAAACAAACAGAATAACTTTGCACCTCAAAAAAAAAAAAAAGAACTTTGCAGAAGATCCATATATATAAGGAGCTCTGGTAGTGTAGTGGTTACGAATCAAGGTTGGTAGCTTGAAACTACCAGCTGTTCCATGAGAGAAAGATGAGGCTTTCTGCTCCCATAAAGATTCACAGCCTCGGAAACCCTTTACAGGGTCATTATGAGTTGGAACTGACTCCACGGTACTTAAAAACAACATATATCTATCTATCTATCTATCTATCTATCTATCTATCTATCTATCTATCTATCTATCTATCTATCTATATATACACATATATATATGATGTGGGGTTTTTTTTCCCCTCTAAAAGCCCTGAGAAGGAAAAAGAGAAACAAAATGTATACAAACAAATAAGCTGGACATGCTAAAATTAAGCTATGATTCACCCAGAGTTTAAACAAATCACAGATTGCACAGTTTAATATTAGAGGGTGTGGGGAGGGGAAACAACAAATAATACATTTCACATCCTCAATAATAAATGTGGCAGGACCTTACTGACTACAAGGGTATAGATAAAGGCTAAATAAAGTTGTAAATCACTAGTGATTACCTAGCAGTACTTCTTTTAGGACAGGGTGGTTTGTTCTTTAGAAGTCCATGGTACTTTCAATACTTTTCATCAATATAATTCAGATGCATCAATTCTTCTCCAGTCTTCCTATTCTACAACCTCTGAGATACTCACATTGCTGGAGTTTTTTTTTTAAGTAGCCAATCTGCAGTTCCTCAACTTTTTTATAAGCTAAGGTTTAAACTCAGTCCTATTTTACTCTCCGAGACCTGGAGTGGCACTACACAGGATAAGCACTGTCCCACGAGGTTGGTGTGAACTGCAAGACTGGGGGTTCAAACTTACCAGTTGTTCTTCGGAAACCCTATACAGGTTCACTATGAGCAGGAACCAACTCAATTGCACTTAAGATCATATTATCTGTGTTGTTGTTGTTGTTCTTGTTAGGTGCCATTGAGTCAGTACTGATCCAAAGTGACCTTAAGCACAGCAGAAGGAAACACTGCCCAATCCTGGGCCAACCTCACTATTGTTGCCACGCTTGAGTCCATCGATGCTGCCACTTGGCCAATCCATCTCGTCGAAGGTCTTCCTCTTTTTTTTTGATCCTCCACCTTACCAGACATGATATCCTTTCTCCAGCAACTGGTCCCTCCTGACAATATGTCCAAAATATGAGAGACAAAGTTTGGCCATCTTGGCCTCCAAGGAACACTCTGGCTGTACTTCTTCCAGAATGGATCTATTGGTTCTTTTGGCAGCTCATGGCACTTTCAATAGTCTCCTTCAACACCATAACTCAAAAGCATCAATTCTTCTATGATCTTCCTTATTCACTGTCCAGCTTTCGCATCCACATGAGGTTGTTGAAAATACCATGACTTGGGTCAGGTGCACCTTAGTCCTCAAGCTGACATCTTTGCTCTTCAACATTTTTAAATGGTCTTGTGCAGCAGCTTTGTCCAATGTAATACGTCCTTGAATTTCTTGACTGCTGCTTCCGTGAGTGTTGATAGCTGATCCAAGAAGAATGAAGTCCTTGACAAACTCAATCTTTTCTTCATTGATAAGAATGTTTATTGGTCCAGTGGTGAAGATTTTTGTTTTCTTTACATTGAGATGTAATCCATATGGAAGGCTGTGCTCTTTGATCTTCATCAGTAGCCTGGGGCAAATAATCCTATTGTTGTTGTTGTACTTAAGTGCCTTCGAGTCAGTTCCGACTTATAGCCACCCTGTATAGGGTTTCCAAGAAGCAGTTGGTTGGTTTAACTGCCAACCTTGTGGTCAGCAGTCCGGTGCTTATCCTACAGCATCACACTAGGACTCCAAATTATAATTCTATTAGAGATGAAGAAATGAAGGCACAAAGAGAATCATGCTATCCATAGCACCTCAAAGGGTTATTAAGATAAAGAAGAATTAATATGTGTGAATACTTAGCAGTGCCTGATACACACTAATGCTGGAAAAATTGTAAGCCAGTGTACTTTTGGGTCGATTAAGTATGGTACCCAGACTGTAGGTCCCATAAAGGACTATGACTACTCATCAGTGTATCCTCAGAGGGTCAAATGGTATGTTTACAACAAATTTGAACAATTATTTGAACAAAAGAATGGACAACATAATTGAAAAACTATTTTGACGTCTGACTCACAGCACAGTTATGCTATGTATTTAATTTAAAGGACTTCATAAAATAATAACAGGGATGGCACAAGGCAAGCAAGTTACGAAAAAGGAATGACCTCAACAACTGCCAAGATGCAATAATAGCAATCAACAGTTGACCAGTTTAATACCTTTGGACTCCTTGCCATCTATGTATTTGTCTTTCTGAAAGGGTGGTCCATGAGCAACCTTCAATGGCCCCTCTTAGAATACCTGTTACAAACACAGACTCCAGAGCCTTACCCAAAACCCATGATTCTGCATTTTAAACCTGCTACCAAACTAATTCTTACACACTGGGCAATTTGAGAACTTGGGACAATTGCTATTAGGCTAATACTTGAAAATACTTTGGAGGGATAGCTTCTAAGCCATCTTACAATCGCTTATAGCAGGAACAGAAAAATGCAGATACCAAAACACAAGGCCTTCCTTGGTGACCCGTGACAACTGCACAACCAGTTTCCAGGCACCAAAGCTAAAGAGAAGTAAATCAACAGTTCACTGACTCATCAAATATCCAGGCACTAAGGGGGATCCTGGTGTGGCACTGTGGGTTAATGCACTGGACTGCAAGGTCGCCATGAACCCCGAGGTCAGCTTAAACCCCAAGTTCAGCAGTTCAAGCTCATTAGCTGCTCCTCAGAAACCACATACAGGGTCACTATGAGTCAAAATTGACTTGACGGCAGTTAACAACCACAACAAGAGGGAACAGAAGAGGGCAGTGGTGCCACACAATAAGCACTGGATTGAAAACCACAGTCCAACAGCTGCTCTGCAGGAGAAAGATGAGACTTTCTGTTCCCACAGATTCAGAGCCTCAGTAAACCCTATACAGGGTCACTTCACATCAGAGGAAACAAGTGGGGTTCTGGAATTTCTCTCTTCCTCCCCACACTGCCCTGCATATTCTCAAATGTCAGGAGCAACATTTCTTCATTCTTAAAACTAATTTCAGAGTGAGCTGAAGTAATACTTTATTATGGTGAACGATCAGGTAAATTCCACTGAAAACTAAACTGTAGTCTTATTAATGTTATTTTTACAAATTCATCTCTCATAGTATAAAAAGGGTACATTTTACTTTATTATGTATTTTGCAAAACTACATCAGCAGTAGGATTTGTGGAATAGATTTTAGTCTTCAGAAATGTGACTGCATCCTTCATCTCTAGTTTTTCAATCTCCCAAGTATTGACCTATCAAAGAGAGCAAAAACAATCAGTGTGCAAGAGATTGACACATAAAATAAAAGCTAGCTTCCAGCTCCACGCATATAAAAGTAACACAATTCAAGTGCTTTTTAAATGAAAACATTACCCTATAATTAATGGCCTCCACCACTCGTCTGTCAGTTTGTCATACTACAGTAGCTTATGAGTTGCTGTGATTCTGGAAGCTATGCCACGGGTATTTTAAATACTAGCAAGGTCACCCTGGTGGACAGGTTTCAGATGAGCTTCCACATGAAGACAGAGTAGGAAGAAGGAGTGATGGACTACTTTTGAATATTTAGTCACTGAAAAACTTATGAATAGCAGAGAAACATTGTCAGATATAGTGTGGCAAAATGATGCCCTCAGGTTAGAAGGCACTCAAAATGTGACTGGGGAAGAGCTGCCTCCTCAAACAGAGTTGACCATGATGATGCAAATGCAGTAAAACCCGTGGGAGTAAAGCCCATGGGACCTTCATTTGCTGATGGGTCACAATTCAAAATGAAGACAAACAGCTGTCAACATTCATTAATAATCAGAACAGAACATGGAATGTACGAAGCATGAATCTAGGAAAATTAGAAATTGTCAAAAATTAAATGGAACACATAAACATCGATATGTTAGGCATCAGTGAGCTGAAATGGACTGGTACTGGCCATTTTGAATCTGACAACCACATGGTTTATTATGCTGGGAATGACAAACTGAGAGGAATGGTGTTACAGTCATTCTCAAAAAGAACATATCAAAATTTGTCATGAGGTAAAACGTGATAGGATAATATCCATGCCCCTACATGAAAGAGTAGTTAATACCACTAATACTCAAATTTATATACCAACCACTAAAGCTAGTAAGGATGAAATAGAAGAATTCTACCAACTTCTTCAATCTGAAATTGATCAAGCATGCAATCAAGATGTATTGATCATTATTGGAGATTGGAATGCAAAGGTTGGGAGCAAAGAGGAAGGATCAGTAGTTGGAAAATATGGCCTTGGTGATAGAAATGATATGGAGATCACATGAACTAATTCTGCAAAATCAATGATTTGTTCATTTCAAATACCTTCTTTAAACAGTATGTTGTTGTTGTTGTTAAGTGCCTTCGAGTCGGTTCCGACCCATAGCGACCCTGTACAGGGTTTCCGAGGGTGTAAATCCTTACGGGAGTAGAAAGCCTCATCTTTCTCCCGCGGAGCAGCTGGTAGTTTCGAACTGCTGACCTTATGGTTCGCAGCCCGATTCGTAACCACTATGCTACCAGAGAGATGACTATTCACACGGACCTCGCCAGATGGAATACATCAAAAACAAACTGACTACACCTTCGGAATGAGACAATAGAAAAGCTCCATATCATCAGTCAAACAAGGCCAGGGGCAGATTGTGCAATAGACAATCAATTGCTCATATGCAAATTCAAACTGAAGCTGAAGAAAATGAAAACTAGTCCATGAGAGCCCAAATATGACTTGGAATATATCCCACCTGAATTTAGAGATCATCTGAAGAACAGATTTAATACATTAAACATTAAAGACCGAAGACCAGAGAGTTGTGGGATGATATCAATAACCTCAAACAGGAACAAAGCCAGAAGTCATTAAGAAGACAAGAAAGAAGGAAAAGGTTAAAATGGATGTCAGCAGAGACACCAAAACTTACTCTCTAGTGTAGAGATGCTAAAGTAAATGGAAGAAATGAGGAGGTATAAGAGCTGAATAGAAAATGTTAAACATGAGCTCGACAAGATAAAGCCAAATATTACAACAAAATGTGCAAAGATCTGGAATCAGAAAACCAAAAAGGAAGAACACGATCAGCATTTCTCAAGCTGGGATAAATGAAAAAATTCAAGCCCCGACTTCTGTTATTGAAGGATTATCTGGGCAAATTATTGAAAGATGTAGAAAGTATCGAGAAGATAGAAGGGATACACAGAGTCACTGTACCAGAAGGAAATGGTTAATGTTCAACTGTGTTTCAAGAGGTAGCATATGATCAAGAGCCAATGATACTTAGGGAAGAAGTCTAAGGTGCATTGAAGGAATTGGCAAAGAACAAGGCACTGGAATTGATGGAATAAAAATTGAAATCTTTCAAGAAAGTGAGGCAGCCACTCATCTATACCAAGAAATTTAAGACTGATTGGAAGACATCCGTATTTGAGAGTTGACCCAACAGAATGTAGAAATCATTGGACAATATCTTTGATATCCCATGCAAGTAAAGCTTTACTAAAGGTAATACAGAAACAGCTGCAAGCATACATTGACAGAGAACTTCCAGAGGCTCAAGTTGGATTCAGAAGAGGCTGTGGAATGAGGGATATCATTACTGATGTCTGTTGGATCTTGGTTGAAAGCAGAGAATATCAAAAAGATGTTTACCTGTGCTTTATTGACTATGCAAAGGCTTTTGATTGTGTGGATCATGACAAGCTTTGGACAACATTGTGAAGTATGAGTATTCCGGAACACATAATTGTGCTCATGAGGAATCTGTACATGGACCAAGAGGCAGTTGTTTGAACAGAAAATGGGAACACTGAATGGTTTAAAATTAAGAAAGGTGTGCAACAGGGTTGTATTCTTTTACCATACTTATTTAACTTGCATGCTGAGCAATTAATCCTAGAAGCTGGGTTATATGAAGAAAAACGTGGCATCTGGATTGGAGGAAGACTCATTAACAATCAGCAATATGCAAATGATACAACCTTGCTTGCTAAAAGTGAAGAGGACTTAAAATATTTACTGATGAAGGTCAAAGACCACAGTCTTCAGTATGGATTGCACATCAATGTAAAGAAAACAAATATGCTCACCACTAGACCAATAAATAACATTTTTATCAACAGAGAAAAGATTGAAGTTGTCAAGGACTTCATTCTTCTTGGATCAACTATCAACACTCAAGGAAGCAGCAGTCAAGAAATCAAAGGACATATTGCATTAGGCAAATCTGCTGCACAAGACCTTTTTAAAGTGTTGAAGAGCAAAGATTTCAGCTTGAGGACTAAGGTGTGTCTGACACAAGCCATGGTATTTTCAATAACCTCATATGCATGCCAAAACTGGACAGTGAATAAGCATCGAAGAATTGATGCTTTTGAGTTATGGTGTTAGAAGAGAATACTGGAAGTGCCATGGGTTACCAAAAGAACCAATGGATCTGTGTAGGAAGAAGTGCAGCCAGAGTGCTCCTTGGAGGTCAATATGGCCAACTTCATCTCTCATATTGTCAGAAGAGACCAGTGTCTGGAGAAGGATATCATGTTTGGTAAGGTGGAGGGTCAGAGAAAATGAGGAACACCTCCAGCTAGATGGATTGGGAAAGTGGCAGCATCAATGGGCGCAAGCATGGCAACAACTGTGAGGCTGGCCCAGGACCAGGCAGTGTTTCGTTCTGTTGTTCATAGGTTCGCTTTGAGTCGGTACTGACTTGATGGCACCTAGCAACCACAATTAATGGCTAATGGTTCCACAGGCCACAGGTGCAGAACCTTTAAAGGTCTTCTACCTGGTGCAAACATTTCTTCTTTCTTGGTTGAAGTTATAACACATATTTAGCCCATATGATTGATAATGTTGTTGTTGTTAAGTGTCATCAGTTCTGACTTATAGTGAGCCTGTTTACGGTTTCTGAGAAGCAGCTGGTGAATTTGAACCGACAACCTTATGATTCAAACTCACCTTCGCTCCAGTGCTTATCCTATAGTGCCACAGCAGGAGTGCCATGATTCAACTGCTGTTGTTGTTGTTAAGTGCTGTCGAGTCGGCTCTGACTCATGACCCTGTATAGGGCTTCTGAGGAGCAGCTGGTGGGTCTGAACTGCAGACCTTGTGGTTCACAGTCCAGTGGGGCCATCTTACCCTCGGTAGTCAGGTGTAATCCAATTTGAGATGCTAAAGGACAACAATGGGATGCTGGGATGCTTACAGTTAACATTGCAAGCAAGAGCCACCAAGAGGCATTGCTCTAGATTCCACTACTAACTTAAGATAAAAGTGTTGGGTCTTGGTACTCAGACACAAACATCTGGAAAGGCTGTTACAGGAAAGCTGCCATGCTCAGAATCAAAGTCAAGACAAGAAGAAACAGAATGAATCATCCTCTTACAAACATCAAGCTTCTCTGGTCACAAACAGCCTGTAACAGCCTTAAAAAGAAGTATCTTGTGTTCCCTTACTCAAGGGAACGTGGAAACAGACATGGATACGTAAGTCCTAAGTTAAAAAAACAAAAACCATTCCTAGTAACCAATTCTATTTCACATAACTAGTAACCACACATCAAGTAGCTGTGGTGGAGCAGTGGCTTGGCTGCTAACAGAAAAGGTCTGCAGTTTGGAGCATCAGCCTTTCTCGAGAGAGAACAATGAGGCAAGCTGCTTCTGTGCAGATTACAGCTCTGGACACACTATGAGGCACTTTTACTCTCTTCGTTAGGGTCACAATAAATCAGAATTGACTTGACAGCAATGGGTCTGTTTGAAAACAAAATTATTATTAACATGCCAGTAACTAAAGATTTCATACTTACCAAGATCACATGAAAGCCCATTACATTCAAATGTCTCATCTTCATGGCAAGTAATCCCCTGGGGTGGGATGAACCCAAACAGTAACTAGATCTACGAACACACAGCACAGCTACTCTGAAATGAAATGGAACAATACAAGAAAAATCACTAATGAGACTGCCCTTTATAATCATTCAGCAGCATTTTACTCTTTGGAGTTTCAAAATTGAGCAGTCTGCTGACCACAGTCCTCATTATTCCCGACTCTGCCTTAGTCCTTCACTTCCATGCGAAGCCTACTTCTTCTGCTTATCATAATGCTTACACCTAACAGCTAACCCTCAGCGAGCTGTAAGAAGGACCACGTTTTTGACGAGGAAAATTTTCTAATCCAAATGCACCCACTGTAAGGTTTTCTTTCATAGTGCTGATGAATGATCTGAATGTGATTACTTAAATTATGGCTCAAGTACCAGATAATACCACATGATAAATGTTCCTTTTTTTCAGATTGTCTCATGTACCCAGGGCAACATCTGAATACGACTAGAGAGACTAGAGAGACCCAATACAAAGAAATAGCCCTTAAAGAAAGAGTTAAGACTGCTAAAAAGATGAAATCTTTAAATGTAACAAAGATGTGGGATGGTATCTTTGTTTTTATTATTATCCTTTTGGAAATATTAAGTTCACTGAAAAGGAAAAAACAAAAACCAGACAACACTAGCATTTTTACTGTCCTTCTCTATCCTCTGGCTGTTATCTTAGATACCAGAAGAGAAATATTTTACAGGTGCTCTGATTCCTCACTTCCTCTCAGCCCTTTATGTGAGAGCTACTATCTTATTCTGTTATGACAGAGCACTGGAGTACCTGAAAAGGAACAGTGATCTGTGAAAGGAGTCAGAGAAAAAGCCTTTACTGAGAGAAAAGGATACATACCATGGTTAGGGAAGACAGCGTTGAAGCAAGATGGCTAAGGAACACACTACATGGATTAAGAAAGGGGTAAAAATTATTATAGAACTATATGTGAAGACAAAGAGGTAGACAGTATTGAGTTTGCTCTCTTATATAACTTTTCTTCAACATTTCTTAATATTGACATGAACAACTGCTGTTAGGTGCTGACAAGTCAGTTGCAACTCAGTAGCCCTATTACAATAGAACAAGACATTGCCCAGTCCAGCACCAGCCTCACAATTGTGGCTATGTTTTAACCCATTGTTGGAGCCACTGTGTCAACCCTTCATACTGAGGGTCTTTCTCTTTTCTGCTGGTCTTTTACTTTGGTATGCATAATGTCCTCTTTTAGGAACGGATTGTTCCTGGTATGTTCAAAGTAGTTGATATGAAGTCTTGCCACTTCATTTCAAAGGAATATTCTGGCTGTACTTCTTCCTACACAGAATTGTTCATTCTTCTGACAGTCCACGGTATATTCAATACTCTTCACCAACATCGTAATTCAAATGCATCGATTCTTCTCTGGTCTTCCTTATTCACAATCTAGCTTTTGTATGCATATGGGACAACTGAAAAGATGTCATTTTGAGGACTAAAGTGTGCCTGGGGTGAGGCCCACCTCAGCCCTCAAAGCGACATCTTTGCTTTTATAACACTTTAACGTGGCCTTTTGCAGCAGATTCACCCAATGTGAAAAATCATTCAATTTCTTGACTGCTGCTTCCATGGGCATTGACTGTGAATACAAGTACAATAAAATCTTTGACAAATTCATTATTTTTCTCCATTTATCATGATGTTGCTTATTGGTTGAGTTTTGTGAGGATTTTTGTTTTCTTTCTGTTGAAGTGGTCTTTGATCTTCATCAGAATGTACTTCAAATCGTCACTTTCACCAAACATGGTTGTTCATTTGCATATTACAGGTTGTTAATGAGTCTTCCTCCTATCCTGATGCCACATTCTTCTTCATATAGTCTAGCTTCTCAAATTATTTGCTTAGCATACAGGTTATGAATAAGCATGATGAAAGGACACAATCCTGACGCATATCTTTATGTTAAACAGTGTAATATCCCCTAGTTCTGCTCAAAGGTATGCCAATTGATCTAGATACAAGTTCCACATGAGCGCCATTAAGTGTTCTAGAATTGATATTCTTTACGTTATTCATAATTGGGTATGGGCCACACAAAATGCCTTTACTTAGTCAGTAAACCACATGTATTCTTTCTTTCTGGTATTCTCTGCTTTCAGTAAAGATCCATCTGACATCAGTAATGATATCCTTCATTTCACATCCCCTTCTGAACTCAGCTTGAATTTCTGGCAGTCCCATTTTGTAATTAGCGTCAGCTGAATTTTACTCGCATGTGATACTTATGATATTTAAAAATAATTTCTGCATTATTTTGGTTCACTTTTCTTTGGCACATGAACCAGCATATGGATCTCTTTCAGTCAGTTGGCCAGGAAGCTGCCTTCCAAGTATCCTGGCATAGATGAGTGAGTGCTTCCAACATTGCATCCATTTGTTGATATGTCTCGAGTGGTATTCCATCAATTTCTGGAGCCCTGTTTTCTGCGAATGGTTTCAGTGCAGGTTGGACTTCTTTCTTCATCATCTATATGCTGCTTCCTCTACAATGGTTGAATGTTGACCAATTCTTTTTTGTACAGTGACACTGTATTGCTTTCAGCTTCTTGTGAAGATTCCTGTATCACTCAATATTTTCCCCATAAAATCATTAAACTCTAAAACTCAAGCCTTGATTTTCTTCTTCACTTCTGTCAGCTTGAAATGCTAAGTGAGTTCTTCCCCTTGGGTTTTCTAATTCCAGGTCTTATAATTTCATTATAATGCTTTAGTCATCTTGAGCTTTTCTTAGTGTGACGCTGTGGGTTAATGCATTGGACTGCAAGGTGGGTTTGAACCACAAGGCTGGCAGTTCAAGCTCACCAGCCGCTCCTCGGAAACCCTATACAGGGTCGCTATGAGTCAGAATTGTCTCAATAGTACATAACAACTCTGTTCAAGAGCAAGCTTCAGAGTTTCTTTTGACATCCACTTTGGTCTTTTCTTTCCTTCCTGTATTTTTAATGACCTTTTAATTCATTTGATACGATAACCCTGATGTTATCCCACAATTTGTCTAGTGTTTGGTCATTAGTGATAATGCGTAAAATCTATTCCTGAAAGGGGCTCTAAATTCTGCTAGGATACTCTCCATCATGGGCATTTAAAAATGTTCTTCATTTGCAGCTTGAGCACGTGTATGAGCAATCGGTGGTGTTTTATAGTCCACCTCTGGCATTGTTCTGACTGATGATATTGAGCGTCTACACTATCTGTTTCCAGTGCAGTGAATATGCATGTTGTTGCTGTTAGGTGCTATCGAGTCAGTTCCAACTCACAGTGACCCTACACACAACAGAACAAACACTGTTCATTCCTACACAATCCTCATAATCCTGGTTATGCTTAAGCACATTACTACTGCCATGTGCCAATCCATCTTGTTGGGAGTCTTCCTCTTTTTCGCTGATCCTCTACCAAGCATTATGTCCTTCTCCAGGGACTGGTCCCTCATGAGAATACATCCGAAGTATGAGACACAAGGGCTCACCATCATGGCTTCTAAGGAACATCCTGGCTATACTTCTTCTTACACAAATTTGTTTGTTCTTCTGGACGTCTATGGGACTATTATTCTTCTCCTCCAAGACCATAACTCAAATTCAGCAATTCTTCAAAAGTCTTCCTTATTCACTGTCCAACTTCCACATGCATATGAAGTTATTGAAAATACCATGGCTTGGGTTAGGAGCACCTTAGTCCTCAAACTGACATCCTTGCTCTTGGACACTTTAAAGAGATCTTGTACAGATTTGCCTAATGCAACATATTGTTTGATTTCTTGACTGCTGCTTCCGTGAATGCTCATAGTGGACCCAAACAAAATGAAGTCTTTAACAACTTTAACTTTTTCTCCATTTATCATGCTGTTATTTATTGGTCCATTTGTGAGGATTTCTATTTTCTTTACAATGAAGTGCAACCCACACTGAAGGATGTGATCTTTGATTTTCATCAGTTAAGTATTTTAAGTCCTCTTTGCTTTCAGCAAGCAAGGATGCATCATCTCCATATGGTAGGTATGTTAATGAGTCTTCCTCCAATCCTGATACCACATTCTTCTTCATATAATCCATCTTCTTGGATTATTTGCTCAGCATACAGATTAAATAAGCAAGGTAAAGGAATACAACCCTGGTGGCACATCTTTCCTGATTTTAAACCATTCAGTGTTCCCTTGTTTGGTAAGAATGACTGACTTTTGGTTTATGTACAGGTACAATTAAGTGTCCTGAAATACTTATTCTCTGCCATATTGGTCATGATCCACATAGTTGAAAGCTTTTATAGTCAATAAAAACAGGTAAACATCTTTCTGGTATTCTCTACTTTCAGCCAAGATCCATCTGACGTCAGCAATGATTCATCTGATGTAAACAAGCTCATTTGAATTCAGTTTGAATCTCTGGCAGTTCCCAGTCATTGTATGTTTGCAGCTGTTTTTTAATAATCTAGCAAAATTTTAGTTGCATGTGATATTAATGGTACTGTCCAATGATTTCAGCATTTCAATGGGTCACCTCTTTGGAATGGGCACATATATGGAGCTCTTCCAATAAGTTGGCATAGATGAGTGTCTGCAGGACTGCATCAGTTTGTTAAAAGATTTCAATTTTTATTTCATCAATTCCCAGATTCTTGGTCTTTGCCAATGAATTCACTGAAGCTTGGACTTCTTCCTTCAGTATCATTGGTTCTTGATCTTATACTACCTCTTGAAATGGTTGAACACTGACCTTTTTTTTTGGTATAATGACTCTGTATTCCTTCCATCTTCTTCAGATGCTTTCTGCATCATTCAATATTTTGTCTATGTTGTTGTTGTTATGTGCCGTGGAGTAGGTTCCAACTCATAGTGACCCTGTACAGGGTTTCCGAGGCTATAAATCTTTACGGGAGCAGAAAGCCTCATCTTTCTCCCGTGGAACAGCTGGTAGTTTTGAACTGCTGACCTTGAGGTTCGCAGCCTGATTCGTAATCACTATAGAATCCTTCAATATTTCAAGTTGAGGCTTGAATTTTTAGTTCAGTTTTTTCAGCATGAGAAATGCTGAGCATGTTCTTCACTTTGAATTTTCTAACTCCAGGTATTTGTAGACTTCACTGTAATATTTGACTTCATCCTTTCAAGTTGCCCTTGAAACTTTCTGTTCAGCTCTTTCATTTCCTAATTTCTTCCAGTTGCTTTAGCATCTCTATGTTGGAAAGCAAGTTTCAGTCTCTTCTGACATCCATTTTGGTCTTTTCCTTTCTTGTCTTCTTAATGACCTTTTGCTTCCTTCCTATATGATGTTCTTGATGCCATCTTCTGGTCTTCGGTCATTAGTGTCTTATGCATCAAATCTATTCTTGAGATGATCTCTAAATTCAGGTGGGATATGTTCAGTGTCATGGGATATGTTCAAGATCATCTTTTGGCTTTTATGGATTTGCTGCAATTTTCATCTTCAGTGTGAATTTCATGTGAACAATTTGACCTTGTTTGGGCTGATGAAACGGAGCTTTTCCGCTGCCTCTTCACACAGATGTAGTCAATTTGATTTCTGTGTATTCCATCTGGTGAGGTCCATGTATAGTTATTTTGTACGTTGTTTAATAAAGGTATCTGCAACGGTCTTCCAAAATTCTATCATGTGATATCTAGCATCATTTCTAACACCAAGGCTATATTTTACAACTATTGATCCTTCCTCTTTGTTTCCAACCTTTGCATTCCAACCACCAGTAATTATCAATACATCTTAATTGTATGTTTGTTCAATTTCAGACTGAAAAAGTTGGAAGAGTTCTTCAGTTTCATCATCATTGGCTTTAGTTGTAGGCACACAAATTTGAATAACAGTGGTACTAATTGGTCTTCCTTGTAAGCATATGGATATTATATTATCACAGATAGCATACTTCATGATATATCTTGAAATGTTCTTTTTGACAATGAATGTGAGGCCATTCCTCTTCAATATATCATTCCTGACATAGTAAACAATGACTGTCAGATTCAAAATGGCAACCCGGTCCATTTCAGCTCACTAATGCCTAAGCCATCAATATTTATGCTTCTCATTTTATTTTTTGACAATTTTCAAAAAACTTTATTCAATTCACATCATCATGGTCAACTCTATTTGAGGCAGCTCTTCCCTAGTACCATTCTGAGTCCCTTCCAACCTTAAGGGTTCATCTTCTGGCACTATATCTGACAATATTCTAGTACTATTCATCATGTTTCAAGATCTATTATTCTCGAGCTAGCTGACAGTATTCCATCACTATTCATAAGGTTTTCAGTAGCTAAACATTCAGAAATAGTCTGCCTCTCCTTTTTCCTAGTCTATCTTAGTCTGGAAGCTCAGCTGAAACCTGTCCACCCTGGGCGACCCTGCTTGTATTTGAAATACCATTAACATAGTTTCCAGCATCAGAGCAACATGCAAGCCATCACAGTATAATGAGATGAGTGGTGTGATGTCATCAAAGTATGATGAGATGAGTTGGTGTGATGCCATAACCGTATGATGAGATGAGCGCTGTGATGTCATCACAGTATGATGAGATGAGCGCTGATGTCATCACAGTATGAGTGGTGTGATGTCATCACAGTATGATGAGTGGTGTGATGTCATCACAGTATGATGAGTGGTGTGATGTCATCACAGTATGAAACACTGACAGATGAGTGGTGGCTATTGTGCAATGTTGTCAATGTTGTTAAGTGTCATCAAGTCAGTTACAACGCACAGCAATCCTGTCTAAGTTTTCAAAGGAGCAGCAAGTAGGCTTTATCTCTTACAGAAAATTGGCACAGCAGTCCAATGCTTATCCTACAGCACCACACCAAGATTCCAATTCCTTCTGTTCAGGTTTCATGTCTGATTGACTTTTGTACCTGTATGCCCCAGTCATGAATCTTTCCACAAAGGGTGCCTGAACAGGAATTATGGACAATGATTACAGGGTCTCATGCATCTACTTAAAAAGCAGGCCATTCTCCCATAGTATAACAGCACATTTCTTGCAATGTAACCTATGTATGTATGTTTGGTTGGTTGTGTGCCATGGAGTCGGTTCCAACTTATAGAGACCCTCTATAGGGTTTACAAGGCTGTAAATCTGTATGGGAACAGAAAGTCTCATCTTTTCCCCACAACCTATGTATGGTGTGGAGTCAGTAATACAGTTTACGAACCATATACAACAGAGTTTCATGGAAAGGTAACTTCTGTACCTTTAAAAGTTCTTGTCATTAGTGCAAACTATTTATTGGGTATTTGATTTTCATAAAATCCTCATGTCTTTGTGATCACTATTACATGTTATTTTGTCAAATTTGCCTTGCACCAATTGTAGTTTTGTTGTTGTTGTTAAGTGTTGTCGAGTCAGTTCTGACCCATAGTGACCCTGTATAGGGTTTCTAAGGAGTGGCTGATAAGCTTGAACCACCGACCTTGCGATTCAAACTGACTTTGCAGTCCAGCACATTAACCCGTAGCGTCACTCCAGGGCTCAGTGCACCCACAGTTTCAGTTATATTAATACTGCTTCAGTGAACTGTTTCAGTTCTAACAAAAAAAGCACTGCCCATTTCATTAAATGCTCGAACTCCCATCCACTGTATCCCACCACAGAGCCCGCATTTACACCTAAGAAGTAATGAATGGATGAGAAGTCTCTTGATGAGTTATAAGCGCCTCAAAAACATAAAACCTTACTATTAGCACTGTTATTTAATATAACATCTTTTAGAATTAAGTCAGAAATTCCACAAATGAGTTCATCTAAGCAACCTTTGAGTGTTTGCAGCAGACGATACCACATCCTTGTCAGAAAATGGAAGAACTTGACTCCTGTTAGTATCCATTCTAACTTCAAAATCTGAAAAGAAAGAATAGGTATTAATTTTCTAATCATACATCAGAGTAATTTCTGTTCCAACATGTACACTAAGATAATTGCACTGCCAACAATAGTAATGGCAGCAGCTAAAACAGCTTATGGGTTTTACCTATACGCTTTCACTGACTCACCCTAAGTACCTGTGAGGTGGGTACTATTATCATTGCCATTTTACAGGTGACGAAATTAAGGTAGGTAAGTGTATAAGGTCACAGTGCTAGTAAGTAGTAGAGTGAGAATCCAAACGCAGGCAGCCCAGTTCAAGTGTGAAGGCTCTCCAACACTACCCTCAGTTCTCACAGGAAACTTCAGGTCTCTTGACAGGAAAAAATGCATTCATTCGTCAATTAATTAATCAGAATACAAGAAAGCCATACCAAGCTCCATACCAATATGATAATTATGTGGCAACTGCACGTTTTTTGAGAAGCGGTCTTCACCTCCCAGGAGAATACTCAGCATCTCTTCAACTTTTGCATTCGGATGTACTGGCGCTGATGGTACGGGTGGCAGTGATATGTCTGGGGACTTGTGGTAAGGAGTACTAGCTAGGTGCAGACAAGTATCCAAAAGACGAAGCTTGTAAATATTCCTCTCCATGTTCCCTAAAAAAAAGACAAATAAGCACTGGACTGCGAAGCACAATCTGCGGTTTGAGCCCGCCTGTGGCTCCAAGGGAGAAACATGAGGCTTTCAAACCCTAAACCGCCTCAACAGCACTTAACAACAACAACAAGATACATTTACATAATTTTGGTCTTAATTATTTAAAAAACAACATTAATGTCACATTTTCAAAACTCTACTAATATGCCTATACTTCTAGTTGAGTTCTGGTGTGGCCTTGTGGGAGAAGCACTCGACGATAAGGTCAATTTAAACCACAAGGTCGGTAGTTCAAACTCAGCAGTCACCACTCGGAAACCCTATACAGGGTTGCTATAGTCAGAACTGACTTAATGGCCCTTACCAACAACCACCTACTTCTAGCTATTTCTTATCAGAAGGAATCTCTCTGTCTCCCCAGTCCTCAGTATTTAGATCAATGCCTTGGACTTGATAAATTGGTTTCAGGCTTAAAAATCTCTTTAGAGATGATTCTGTCTAAATAACTCAAAGCTTAAATGGATCAAGAAATGCCCAGGAATGCTAAAGGGGCTCATGATTAGTTAAAGCAAAATCAGGTAGAAACCAGGTCTCCTGACTGCTGGTTCAAGAATGTTTCTGCCACATTGTAGTGCTTGAAAATCAGCACACAGTGTTGATTCTTTACAATTCAATTTTACTATTCATAACAGTTAAAAATAAAAAGCAACAAATACTGCTTATTCTCATATCATCAAATTTTGTATACTGAAATTGCTTTTTCCTTATTAAAGAGCCAAAGTCAATAATTAATTTGTTGTGAAGAGTAAATGAATTCATTAACTGAATTAATAAATGATTTTGTTTCTTAATATGACTGGATACGCCCACATTTCAGGCCATGAGTGATCAAGAGTTTACAGTTGCAAAAGTTGCCTTAAAGTGGTTTCCAAATGAGACATGAAAGGAGTAGGAGATGCAAATACCTCCAAGATATTAGAAACAACTTTTAACCATGAGCTTTTACTATGAATTAAAATAATGATCATGAGCTCCTTATTCTTTATGTCTATAATTTATGAGCTGTCATTAAAGGAAGCTCTACCGAGTAGGGAGCTCGAGGCACTGACCAATGACGTCACCATTACGGCTCCCTTCCTCAGTAACAATGGCTGTGCACTTTGTAACTGGTACCACTCTGACTATGACCTCATTCTGATGATACACAAGGCAGCGAGCTATTGGCAGAACTCGTTTGGTCACGGAAACTCACCTGCAGTCAGCAGCTCACTGACAATGTCCTTTTGAAAGAGCTGATTAACAGCTGCCAGGGGAAAATGGTTCATCATGAAAAATGAGCACACAGCATGCAACAGGTTTTCAGAAGAGATATGATGAAGGCAACCCGTCAGAGAACCTGCCATAATGTCTAGGAACCTTCAGGGGAACAGAGGAAAGATAGTTTTCAAACACAAAGAGCAGATAAGGTAAGATGCTGGTTATAAGGAATCCAAACAAAAGAGATTTAAAAAAAAAAAAAAAAACAAAACTCAGTGTCCACACATTGTTCAGGACAGGTGGTGTCAGTGTCCATGCTCAGTGAACGCTAACTATTGGTATATGTAGAAGCCTTGGTGACACATGGTTAAGCACTCGTCTGCTAATTAAAAGGTCAGTGGTTTGAATTTACCAGCTGCTCCAGAGCAGAAAGATGTGGAAGTCTGCTCCTGTAAAGATGAGTGCTGGTGGTGTGCTGTGGAGTCGGTTCTGACTCATAACAACCCTGCATGGGGTTTCCGAGGCTGTAAATCTTTAAGGGAGTAGAAATCCTCATCTTTTGCCCATGCAATGGCTGGTAGTTTCAAACTGCTGACCTTGAAGTTGGCAGCCCAACTCATAACGACTATGCTACCAGAGCTCCTTGGAAACCCCTAAGGGGAAATTCTACTATATTATAGGGTCAAATGGGAATGAATAGCAATGGATTTGATTTTTATTTTATTGCTATATATATTACTTAGAGCAAATGCTTTGTAGGCTTTAAGTCATTGGATTCCCATTACATTTCTATACAGTAGGCATTATTAACTTCAGAATAAAGGAAAATACACATGTTCAGAGAGGCTGAGTAACTTCTACAAGGACATACAACCAGGAAGTAGCAAAGACAACATTGGAACTCAAGTTCCAGATTTTTAAAATGAGTATGTCATAAGGTCTGGAACACCACTGCGAATTCTTTACTCATCAGTACTCAGGGTTAAGAGAACAGCAAGTCTGGTCTCCACTCAGGGCTGGTGACACACAGTATACAAAGTAGCTAAACACAAATGAAGAAGAGAAAGTTTAAGACTGGATGAGGTACTTGCCCACAGGAGTACCACTCATAAAATCCTTTGACCCCAGCCGGTGTGACACCCACTGCATATGTTATGTATCATTGCACAAGAGAAAACATGAAGTACATACAAAGCAGAATCACTGAGTGGAGAAAATGGTGACACTCTTGACTACTAGCTGAAAGGTTTGCGGTTCAAACTAACCCAGAGGTACCTCAGAAGACAGGCCTGGGGATCTGCTTCTGAAGGTCGCAGCCTTGAACACCTGCCCTATGGAGCAGTTCTACTGCACACACAGAGTTGCCATGAGTTAGAATTGACACAACAGCAATTAACAATAGCAACACATGTGGAGGAGAGTGGGCTGTTGGGGTCTGTAGACTTTCAGTAGGTGGAAAATATGAAGAAGAGGAAAATCATCTGAAACGGAGCAAAGAAATGAGACGGAAAGTTCAGGTATTCAAGTGAGGGTGAGTCAGTGATAAAGCCAAGGAGGACAGTGACTCATAGGCAGGGGCAAATGTGTGCCGGCCGACGCGAGTCCTTAATGAGAGTGGGGAGGGGAGCGCTTGAGAAGAACTGGCCGGTGTCACGGGTAGGGGCAGGTGGGTGTGTGAAGAGGTGGTGGTGATAGGCCAAGGAGATGGAAAGAAATGTAACACTCTCGAGACAGTGAGGCCACAACCCACCCCTTGCTTATAATCCCTTCTGCCTAGAATGTTCTCCCCTGCTTAACCTTCTCCTGGCTAACTCCTACCTGTTCATCAGTTCAGGACCATCTCTTCAGGGTGGCATTCCCTGACTCTCTGGTTCCTCAGATTAAGTCCCTCCCATTTCCAGATCCTGTATAAAATTGCAGGTTAGATCTAATCACCAATTCACATATGACCCTTCCCCATGACATAGTCATCTAGCAAGAAACACTATGTCTTACTCAGTTTTGTCCTAAGCAGTCCCCAGTATTTGGTCAATGTTTGGTCAATGTTAGGCCAGGAAGAAAGGAACAAGTTAGTGAAACAGAGGAGTCAGGAATAAGGAGCTGACGATGCGATGAACACAAAGCATGTCACTGAACTCTTCACATGAAGACTGTTGAAATGGCACATGCTTTGTTACCTATAGGTTGGTGGTGGTGTGCCGTGGAGTTGGTTCTGACTCATACCAATCCTGCATAGGGTTTCCAAGGCTGTAAATCTTTATGGGAGCAGAAAGCCTCATCTTTCTCCTGTGGAATGGCTGGTAGTTTCAAACTGCTGACCTTGAGGTTAGTATCCCAACTTGTAACCACTATGCTACCAGAGCTTCTTTGTTAACTATATAGCTACTATAATAATAAGCATCATTTGAAGATTAATGAGCTGAACTCTACAATTATTGAACATGAGGCATGTATGGGTGTACAAGGTCCATACACAACCGAGGAGACTGAGATCTGGACTCAAAAGCTGATCAGAAATGCAAATCTGGGAGTGGTCCACAGTATGGGAAGTACAGGTCAAGAAGAGAAAAAAATGTGAAATGTCAGAGGTTAAATGTTAAATGTTTTCTTCCTTGGATTTCAAACCAAAGATCTAACAGTGTGTTGAACACACCCCAGCCCCAGCCCCGGCCCCACCAATAGGCCATCACATAAAGTGACAAGCACAGTGTGGTGAGCCAAGTTTTCTAATACTCTCCTACCTAATGGTGCTGTGGGTTAATGCGCTGGACTGCAAAGTTGGCTTGAACCACAAGGTCTGAGGTTCAAGCTTATCACCAGCTGTTCCTTGGAAAACCTACAGTGTTGCTATGCGTTGAAATCAATTCGATGGCACTTAAAAAAAAAAAAAAAAGTCAACTTTCTTTCTTTGCCGTCCCAGTCCCAGAGGCCATCTGCCTCCTCCATAGGGCTCTCACTCACTTACTCACTCCCTTCCTCTGGATGTACACGACTTGTCTCCTTACCTGGTCTACAAATGACAGGAAACAGAAACTTCTTTTCCTAAAGTCCTTGGAGTACCAAATTCAGGCAACTGCACATTTGTAGGGTTTCAGGAGAGTCTCACTGATTACTCTTGATCTACATTCTCACTGCTCCGTTTCTCCAAAGGAGAAATGCTGAGGTGAGAATTTGTCTTCAGTTCTTTCAGTTTGGGAACTGCTGAGCATGTTCTACCTCTGGTTTTCTAACTATAGATCTTTGCAACTTTCATTATAATATTTGACTTTGTCTTCTTGAGCTGTCCTTTGAAATTTTCTGTTTAGCACTTTTACTTCCTCCTTTCATCTATTCGCCTTAGCTTCTCTACACTGTCTTCAGTTTCAAAGACTCTTCTGATGCCCATTTTAGTCTTTTCTTTCTTGCCTGTCTTTTTAATGACCTTTTACTTTCTACCTGTATGATGTTCTTGATGTCATCCCACAACTCTTAGGATTTTCTGTCAGTAGTGTCTAATACGTCAAATCTGTTTTTGCGATCACCTCTAAATTCAGGTAGGATATACTCAAGTTCATATTTTGGCTCTCATGTACTTTTAAAATTTTTCTTCATATTTTACGTGCACTTTCATATGAGCAATTGATGGTCAGTTCCGCAGTCTGCCCCTGGTCTTGTTATGGCTGATGAACAGTAACAGTAGATTTGGTTTAGTGATAAGATTTTAAATTTACTATTATTGTTCATCACCCCAAACAAAACCAACAGCCAACATTACTCTCTGTGGAGAGAAACAAAGCATTCACCTTGTGAATGGAAAGCAAATCCTGGTCATTATGTGTTGGAAGCCTTAGCCAGAGTTATAAGACAATAAAAGGAAACTAAAAACATCCAAAATGGCAAAGAAGAAGTAAATCTCTCACTATTTGCAGATAGTGAGAGATATAATCCTATACAAAGAAATCCCAAAAGACTCGGCAAGAAAATTACTGGAACTCAATGAAATACACAACAAAGTGGCAGGGTACAAAATCAATATACAAAATCATTTGGATTTCTTTATACTTAATAAAGAGCTCTGAAAAATAAACCAGAAAAACAATACATTTATAATAATCAACCAAAAGATGTAGGAATAAATCAAACCGGAGAAACAAGAGACCTATATATATATTAATTTCATATGCAAAGGAACGAGATCCTGGATAAGCAAAGCATTACTAAAGGAGAACAAAACTGGAGGCCTCTGCTTCTTGATTTCAAAACCCACAACATAGTCATAGTGATCAAAACAGCCTGGTGCTGGTTCACACATAGATCAGGGAAGCAGAACTGGAAGCCCAGAAGTAAACCCATCTATCTATAGTCAGCTGGTCTCTGACAAAGGCCAAAACACATGAAATAGGGGGAAAACAGTGTCATTAACAAGTGGTGCTTACAAAACAGGAAATCCATTTGCAGAAGAATGAAACCCATTTCTTACACCATATACTACTAAACTAACTCAATGGGGATTAAATATGAAATGTAAAACCTAGAATTCTAAATATGAAATGTAAAACCTAGAACTATAAAGACCATCAGTGAAAACATAGGAACATTTAGGGGCTCCGTACATAGCATAAATATACTATAAAACATAAAGGAAAACACAAAAACAGCTGAAAACAAAATCAATAACTGGGACCTCCTAAAAATTACATTTATTTGCATCAAAAGACTTTACCAAAAGAGTAAAAAGAGGACTCACAGACTGGGAAAAAAATTTTGGTAATGACATTTCAGACAAGGGACTAACGAAACCAACATTTATAGAAAACTTCAACACCTCAATAGAAAAAGACAAATAATCCAGTTAAACAATGGACAGAGAACATGCGCAGACACTTCTCCAAAGAAGACATCCAGGCGACCAACAAACATATAAAGAAATGCACATGATCATTAGCCATTATTTTTATTATTAAGAGTCCTCAAGTCAGTTCCTAATCACAGAGAGCCTGTATAGAGTTTCCAAGGAGTAACTAGTGGGTTTGAACTGCTGACTTTGCGGTTAGCAGGTCAGTGTTCACTGTACAGAACTATACACCAAGACTCCAAATTCCTTCTGTCATTGTGGTTAAGTGCCATCGAGTCGATTCCAACTCAAAGCAACCCTGTATAAGGTTTCTGAGGAGCAGCTG